CCCAGGATCAGGGTCTTTTCCAAATGTGTCACACATCAGGTAGCCAGAGTATTGGAGCTTCAGCTTCAGCACCAGTCCTTCCAGTGAATATTCAGGGTTGATTTCCTTTTGGTTTGATCTCCTTGCAGTCGAAGGGACTCTTGAGTCTTCTCCAGCACCACAGTTAAAAGGCATCAATTTCTTTGGTGGTCAGCCTTCTTTATGGTTCAACTCTCACATCCATACATGACTATCGGGAAATCCATAGCTCTGATTATACTGACCTTTGTCAGCAAAGTGATGTCTCTGCTTTTTAATATGCTGTCTACGTTTGTCACAGCTTTCCTTCCAAGAAGCAACTGTCTTTTAATTTCATGGCTGCAGTCACTTTCCATATTGATTTTGGAGCCCAAGAAAATAATGTCTGTCACTGTTAACATTGTTTCCCCATCTAGTAGCCATGAAGTGAATGCCATGTTAGCTTTTTGATTGTTGAGTTTTAAACTGACTTTTCACCTTCTTCAAAAGGCTGTTAGTTCCTCTTCACTTTCTGCCTTAAGATGGTTTCATCTGCATATCTGAGCTTATTGTTATTTCTCTTGGCAGTCTTGATTCTAACTTGTGCTTCATCCCCCTGGGCATTTCACTTGATATACTCTGCATATAAGTTAAACAAGCAGGGTGACAGTACACAGCCTTGACATACACCTTTGCCAATTTTTTAACTCATTGAGTAGCTGCTGTTTATTAGACAGCAAGGTAGGGCATGATGTATAGTTTTAGTCTTCAGAGATTATTTTTTGGTCATTCAGTGTGAATGATCAAATTTTTAAAAATAAAAAACGGGGCTTAACTAAATGTCAAACAGTGTCAAAATAATTCTATTTTAATGTAATTCTTCTAACAATGTCAAAATAATTACGTTTCCGTTAAGTTTTGTGTTGTAGGGCATCTTAATTGGCATTTTCTGTCTTAATCGATCCTGCAGTTATTTCCTCAGATTCCCAAGTTGCTTCATTGATTTTACTTGAAAAGGACAATAGCCAGTGTTTTCAGTAAGTTTTAACATACTGTAAGAGAAGCAGTATGGCAATCCTTATTTCACCAAGGCTTCCTTGAAATCATCATTAAAATTAACGTCATATAGCTTAAACAAAGACAACACTATTCCCTTCAGAATTTAAAACCAACTCCATTTGGAGAACTGTTCATTGAAAGTAATTCAGGAGTATGAAGTGCTCTGTGAAGAGTATTTTCTGGTCTGTATTTAGTACGTGGGCACGGGGAGGTGAAGACAAGTGTGAGGGTGTCAGTATCTTCACCAGGCATCTTGAGTTTGGATATAGGGTCTAAGGCAACAGAATTTTTGAGAGAGAAAGCCCATGAGGATGTTAATGATACGAAATGAAACTTGAAAATGAGTTTGAAAGTAAATAGCAAGAAACAGTGACATACGGCCAAACCTAATGTGAAAATAAGTTTTTGGCAAGCAGAAGACAAATTTGCAGCACTTTCTCTTCTTCAAGACGGTTTTGTGTTTAATCATCCGTGAACATTTTGGAAACTTTGAGTGTTGCATTTGGCTCGTGGCAGGGGAAAAAAAATAAATTGGCTGTGATGGCTGATTTCACTTCTTTTTGAGTAGCCACACTGTGTTTTATGGTAATTCCTCTAAGGAAAGTGACAGATAGGAAGCAGCTGATTGCTCGGTGAGATGGTATAGCATAAAGCTGACGCTGAGTCTTACAAAATCAAATGTTTCTATTGCTCCCACACATGCTGGAGGCCGAGTCCTCAGGTCAGACATACAGTTGCAGAGAGCCGGGCTGTCTTTAGAGTAGAGAATACGCTCTGCTCCAGCGGAGACTGGCAGGCTTCCTAGTGGACATGCTGCTGCCAGAGACCGGAAATGCTCCTCGAGGGGGACATGGGTCCCCTCTGTGCTCTGACCTTGGCCTGTCTCTCCCGCCCCTTCTGCACCACCCTGAGCATCACATCATAGCCGCTGGGTTCCCAGGAAGCGCTCTGCTCCCAGCCCACTCCCTGCGCCTGTGCCCCCGCCTCCCTGCCTGCCGGGCAGCCCTCTTCTCCCGCCGCAGGCTCGTCCTCCGGAGGAGCTTCCCTGCCCTCCAGCCTGCCTCAAGCTGTCCCTGTCTGGTTTTGGACATCTTGTCCACACCCACGGGGTGTCAGTCTCGCTCTTCAGCGTGATGTGCCCATCGCTGCCCTCCCCAGGCAGTGGGCTGAAACACAAAACAGATCTTAGTAAAGTTACAAAGTCACAGGCGTTTGGCTTCATAGTAATCTTAAGTGGGTCATATAGGGCTACAGAGGAGAGGTATGAAATTTCCATTTTTCACCTAACATGGAAAAGGTGCAAATCTACTTCCATAAATTAAATAAGCTCCTCATTTTGCACCCTTTCATGATGCTGTTAAGGGCAAGCAGAATCTCGCCGGGGCCACTTCAAAGATCAGTTCCTCCAGTTCCCTGGAACGAATGTTCCTCCACAGACAGCGAGGTGTGTTCATGTCGGGGCGGGGGGGTATGACCCAGCACCCTCTGTGTCCTCAGTCAGCGTTGGCTTGTTGGATGCAGGGCACACGGGGGCCTTTTGTGGGGGCACACGGGGACGCTTCCTGGCCTCGGACGGGCGCCTGTACTGAGTGCATCCTGGGCTTCTCTTCCAGCGCCGCCAGCAGCAGCCAAGCCCTGGCCCTGAGTCTTCCTGGGCAACGCCCAGGAGAAAGGACTCACAGCTGCGGCTTCGCCACCACTTCCGGAACGGTTCTCAGACCCGTTTGACATTCTGTGGGTGCTGAGCCAGTTACCCGCTTCCTGCTGTGTTACCCGTGTCCCACTGTGTGACCCGCTTCTCACGATGTAGCTCTCAAGTCCATCCCTCCCCACTCGCATTAGCCCAGGCGGAGCTGGCCTGGTGACGTCTCACCGGTGACGTCACCCCTTCGCCCGCCGCCTTGCTCTCCAGCCTCGCAGGTAGGGGGCGCCAGAGGAGGAAGGCGTTTTCCCTCCCAATTTGTGTGTGCCCCGCAGCGTTCAGATCTTACTGTCCGTGGCCCCCGGGGCAGCGGCACGCGCACCCCATCTCCCTGACAGCCCTCCAGCACGCACCTTGTCTCGGGCAGTTTCCAGGGCCAGCGGCACCTCCCCGTCCCCGTGAACAGCGCCTCTGCGGCCGCCTCCCAGCTCCCGGTCAGGTGGTTCGCTCGCTTGGCCTGGTTCTACCCAGGAAGCTTCGCTACCATCCAGTGGATTCCGCCACACCGTCTGCAACAGTGATTCCCCAGCCTTTGGGGGAGACCCCTTTCCACGTTTGCTCCTCCCGTGAGTTCCCTGTCAGCGCTCACAGCTGTCCGCGTTCTCCTTTTTTGCTCCTCAGTGAGTTCCCCAGCTCCAATCTCCTGTTCATACCGTGATTCTTTGTTAAACTTTTCTCTGTTCACACCACGGGGTGGTTTCTGTCTCCTGAGGGGACCCTAACCATGCAGAGGCCAGTGTCCCAGCTCCACACCGCCCCCCAGTAACCATACGAGACTCCAAGGGCCAGCCTGCAGGACTGTCCACTCAGGTATTCCACCGAAGTGTCTGTGTGCCTACTGGCCAACAGGCCCTGGGTTAAGGAAGACAAGGACTGCGGCCCGCGCTTGTGGAAACACTAGAAAAGGAGAAAACCAAATAGTGAAGTGTGTTGAGTGTGTGTGTGGCTTGGGGAGGTGGGAGTAGTGTAGACAAAAATTAAAGAGAACCTTGAGAAGAGAATTTTAGTGTCCTCTAGGAGCCAAAGGGGATAGATACTAGGTGTGGCAATTCATGGAATTGATAGACATTTACCACTTTAAGTCATGTCCATAATAGAATAGAAGAGCTTTCCTTACCAGGTTCCCCCTCAGCTGGTAAAGAATCTGCCTGTAATGCGGAAGACATGGGTTTGATCCTTGGGTTGGGAAGATCCGCTGGAGAAAAGAAAGGCTACCCACTCCAGTATTCTGGCCTGGAGAATTCCATGGACTGTAGGTCACAAAGAGTCAGTCACTACTGAGCGACTTCACTTTTATAATAGAAAAAGTATTAATAAGTATTAATAACAAAATGTGGTTTTTTTTGTTCCACTTCATCTGTGAATATTCTTTCTCTTTCCACAAAGACCTTGAGCTGGTTAGGGTGTTTCAAGGCATCTCATCTCTGAATCCCTAAGGGCAGAAACCATCACATAGTAGGTGTACAATAAATGTTAGTTGACTAAATAGAGACCAGTCATATGGAGTTGATGTTCTCTGTTTTGTAAGTGCTCTGCAGAGTCAAAGTCAGCCATTGTCTTATGTTGACAGTTCATAAACGGTTATGTGCAGTTATTTTTGTCCTTGAAATGTGAACAGAAAGGTTGTTCATGAGCTTAGGATTTTTGTGCCTTCCTCTCCAGCCATTTACAGATACCATCAGCCTGGTCAGGTGTGTATCACAGCATGTGAGGTGTCTTAGACCTCTAATTCTCAGGGATCCCCGTGGTGCAGACACAGAAACGGAGGTTGGCTTGCTTACCCGTGGCGATACTGATGGGATGTGGCTGCGTCCCCGCTTGGAGTCCAGGTTGACACCAAAGCTCTTGTGTTTCCCGCTTCACTGCCCAGGTCTCACCACCCGCGGCCCTGTGGTCAGTCAGGCGCCTGCCCTACTTGTGTGAACACATACACACGTCACCCCAGAGCCTTTGTTCCTTCAGTCGCTTCCACCCGCTTCCTTGTCCTAGAAACAGCCCTCTGGCCCCCTCAGGCACTGTGACATCCAGGTACAAGTGGACAAGGATTGGAAAACTCAAGAGAAGGCCAGAAGTCTCTCTCCTTTACTTTATGGATTCAAAAATCTCTCCTCCCCCCAAAATCTAGCCACTTGCTGAACAGTTGATATGGGTACACGTCAGGGGGGAAACTTGAGCTAAAATAAAGCCCAGGGGAGCAGGTGTGCACCCTTAACTTCTGACCCGCGTCTTCTCTTCTCCCTAGGTGCTGTTACCCCCGTACGATGACGCCACTGTGAACAGCGCCACAAAGGAGCCGCCGCCCCCGTACGTGTCTGCCTGAGCCTGGAAGTCGGGCCGAGCGAGAGCGACAGCGGACTTTTCATTCATCAGAGCAATAGTTCTTTAATTTTTCTTCTGAGATGAGCTCTCTGAGCTTATCTGTTGCAGAAATGCTACAGTTTAAAATTTTAGATGTTAAGTTGAAACTCTGTAGTTTAAAACCTATGCTTTAGCTGGAGCACCATGATAGAGTAACTGTAGAAATTCTCTCAGTGGGGTGGGGTGGGGTGGGCTCCCCTAGTCTTCCCTTGGCATCAGAGCTACCCGACAACCTGGATGAATCTTTTGTCCGCGGTGTCTGTAGTACGTGCTGAGCCCCAGAGTCGAAGACTTTCCAATGCTTTTCTCTTCACTCCCTGTTTCTCTTTTGAACGTGTGTAATCAAGTCAAAATTAGTGCTTTTCCTTGGCCATTCCAGTTTATAGAAGAAACCCTTAGGAGGACAGGAATGTTATTTGTGTAAGGAGTCTATATAAATACATAAATAAAACAAGAATTTCCTTAGACATTTACGTTATGCTTTAAATTCGGTGACAGTTTTTGAGTTTGCTGGTCAAGGATTTTGATCGTGGGCCAAACTGAGACCCTCTGATAATCCATGGCAGGGTGGACAGTCAGTGGCCGCCCTGGTGGCTGCTCTTGTCCACGCACATCTGGGGTCACTGTGTGGCATGTGGGGGGAACTGATGGATTTGGTCCTTTGTGGTGTCAAGTCTCTCTGCTCCCCTTTTCCCGTCCCCGCTCAGAAACCCCTCTCGCTCCGTGTTCTGCCCTAGCCTGCCTCGGGGAGGACACCCACCACCAGCCTTTGTCAGGTGGAATTACTGATATATATTTACCTGACAATATGAAAGAAGGTTTTCTTCTCTCCCTACAAGGTCAACCTGCTACTGTGAACTTCTGAGTATGCCTTGTGATCTTTTAAAAGTCTTCTGAAAAATGGGAGGCGGGGGCTGGAGTGGGGGTTGCTTTCCTTGTGAAATACCCTTGTCTTAACTACCTGAATTTCCAGAGATTTTTATATATCTACACGTTCAAAAGTCACAGCTCTTTATTTTGTTCATTATTGGATGTGCTTGTAAATGAAGTTGTTTGCAATTAAAGTGAGATTTTTCCCACATTCAAGAAGACCACCTTTGACTCTGGTGACTGCCTGGAAACACTTCTTGCCCACTTGGGACTATGTTAGACATATATGACTTGGCCCGAGGAGGAGGCTCTGTGGCTTATCTCACACATAGCTGTTTTTAAATATCTTCATGCTGATAAAATCAGAGTATCTTGGGCCAAGAGAAATGGAGAGGAACAGACATGAACTTGCAGGATTCCTAACCCTGCCTCGCCAAGCTCTGCCAACTCAGCTGCTTCAAATCTGATTGCTTTCTGTCCGCAGTGCAGTTGTAACAAGCTGTTTAGATTCTCCTGTGTTCCAAGGGAGGTTAAAATAGGAGGGATTTTGGCTTGTTTCCAGATAGGTGTTTCAGATAATTTGGAAATGTAAGGAAAAAATAAGAGGTGAAGCAGGGGTGGTTTTTATCCCTGAGAATCAGCCTCAGTCATTTCTTCTGGTGCATCATGTTAGTATTCCATATACACTCAACCTCAGAAATTCTGTTCCTTGAAGCCTTGTACCCAGAAGATTCCCACCAAGTTAAACACATGCAGGGTTGTTACGGATGGAAAAGGCCTATCAGACCGTTTCCCTGATCCCTTGGAAGGCATGTGGGAAGTCACAGTCATCTGCATGTTACTTCCTGTGATTTTCTGGCACTTTGCTTAATCATGATTTACACTATGAAAAATGGCATGTGATCAAGTGGAGAACAGTGCTGGTTTTGAGACTCCCTTCGCAGGGCCCTCAGAGGGGATCTCGTTCACATTACACTCAGCGCCACCGACCACAGGATGTCATGTCATACTCAGACCCCACAGGTGCTGATGCTGCTGGGCCTTCCTGACATGACAGCTCAAGCTGCCCCCAAAGCTGCCCCCATCCTTAGCTCTGCAAAGTAAGGAATTGTCTTCCTGTCTCCACTATGGAGAGGTTGTGAAGCTTGGGTTAAAGTGACCCTCCAGAGCATACTCGGCAGTCCGCTGTGCCCCTGTCTCATTACTAATACAGATGCATAACCTCTTTTAAGTGTATTTGAAGCCCCACTTTAATATCTAGCTCTGTTCTTTTTTGTTGTCTACAGAGAACAAGAACAGTCATTACCTCAGTTGCTCTCATGCTTACATACTTTCTGGTCACCTGACTGATGAGAACCGATGAGAGATCTTTGGGTTTTTTTCATCTTGAAACCCCCAAACCCCGTTTTAAGGTCATGGATGTTCAGCCCAGCACCAGCAGGTGTGCAAATGGGCCCACTGATAAGCAGCCTGTGGGAGGGGTTGGAGTCTGTCTGCTGGACAGAGAAGAGAAAAACACATCTTTGGGCTTAGATGGGGTCTGCCCACACTAGAAATCCAGCTTGCACTGAACGAGACAGTCCGGTTTCCAGAATGTCGCGTCACATGAAAGGGCCAGTTGACTAACTGCTCCCCTTTCTGTACCTTCTTCCTAACATAAACACATGAGCAGCATCTCCCCCAAATTTCTTGTCCCTGCTCCCACCCTATCCTGTTGCCCTGCAGGATGCCAGACAGGTTCTCTCCACCCTTCTTTCTCCCCCTATTTTTTTAAACTCTAATGGTCCCCAAATTGGTTTAGTTTGCTTAGCTGAACCACACCTCATTGCATTTCTCTTTTCACCTTCACTTCAGTTCATTAATCAACAGCACTCAGTCTCAAGAGACCGTTTTTAGAGACAAAGCATTCAAGTTTTCTCCGTGGAGGGGATGTATTATATGTGAAATAGTCATCATTGGAGGAAAAAAATCCTGCTATACAAATAGATCTTTTATAAAAACACTATTTCCACTTGAAAAGATAATGTTAGCTTTTGCAGCCAATCTGGAAAACAACCTAAATATTGTGACTGTTTATATTGCCGCTGGTCCCATACACAAAATTCTGCATTCTGGCGGGGAGAGGGCAGGTGAGGTGTAACGCCGAAGGACAGCCAGTGTAAAGTGAGACATTTCAATACCAGAAGTAGCACCCGCTTCTGTGTGAAGTGGTTTTGGTGCAGCTCGCATGCATTTCTAAAAGGGAAGGAGAAAGGAGGCATTGCATAGATGTCTCCACACCCATGAAATTCACTTAAAGTGTTTTGCCTGCGGGCCAAGTTTTCTGCCAAATGACTGGTGTGTGAAAGCCAGCCAGGTCTGCAGCCTTCTGCCGAGAAGCCCATGCATGCCTGCTGCTGAGAAGCCCATGCATGCCTGCTGCTGAGTCGTGTACAGAGACAAGAGAAACTGTCGCCTGGTCAACCCTGGAGAAGTGACATCAAAGCAAAAGTCTTCGCTCTCTACCCTCATCGATACAACCCTAATTAGAGGAAGCTGCTGCTTCAGAGTGAAGAGTTTGGCTCAAAACAGCATGATGGACTAAAGTTTTATTTATTTTATCCCATCTAAAACCTACTTTTTTTTTTTAAACACATGCTTTTAAAAAAACCATTAGCAGGCTGATTCATGTTGAGGTTTGACAGAAGACAACAAAATTCTGTAAAGCAATTATCCTTCAATTAAAAAAATTTTTTTAAAGCCATTAACAAACGACAAAACAAGTTTTGCTTACTAAGTAAAATTTATTATCATGGACTCTTCTTCAGCTGAGCAAGGTGTTGGTCAAGTTGTCCAAGGTATATTGTTGCAGTAGAATAAGTTTGGAGAGGAACTGTGTGATGGTGGGTAGACTGGGCGTAATGAGCCAGCACTGGGGGCCTTATTTAGAAGAGCCTGGCAGTGAGTGCACCATCAGATTGTCTGCTAGTCATGGTTCAGTGCTCTGGCGTATCGAGTCCTGCTGTGAAAAAAGATATCAACAACAGGTGCCAGATTCCTGGGACCCTGATTTTGGGGCCTCCAATCTAGACCTCCTAAAGAGCTGATGAGGCTCCTGTCTGTGGTCTTCACCTGAGAAGCCCCCGGCTCTGGGAAGACTGGGAACACTGGGTCTGCTCTCTGTGTGACTCGCCAGCACAGAGGACAGTATGTCTTGTGTGTGGGGGGACACCCTCCAATCCAGTGTGGGGGCCTTCATGTGATGTCACATTTCCCCCAGTATTCATTTTAGCTAAACGTATCTTTATTTCAGTATTTTACTTTAAGCAAGATATTTCTTTAGTTCTTTTAAACGTTTGTTCAGTCGCTAAGTCGTGTCCAACTCTTTGCAACCTCATGGACTGCAGCACGCCAGGCTTCCCTGTCCTTCACTATCTCCCAGAGTTTGCTCAAACTCATATCCATTGAGTCAGGGATGCCAGCCAACCATCTTGTCCTCTATCGTCCCCTTCTCCTTTTGCCTTTACTCTTTCCCAGCGTCAAGGTCTTTTCCAGTGAGTCAGGTCTTCAGGTCATGTGGCCAAAGTATTGGAGCTTCAGCATCCAGTCCTTCCAATGAATATTCAGGGTTGACTTCCTTTAAGATTGACTGGTTTGATTTCCTTGCTGTCCAAGTGACTCTCAAGAGTCTTCTCCGGCACCACTGTTAAAAAACAGTTCTTCAGCGCTCAGCCTTTCTGATCCAGCTCTTAACATCCATACATGACCACTGGAAAAACCAGAGCTATGACTGTATGGACCTTCGTTGGCAAAGTGACGTCTCTGTTTTTAATACAACACTGTCTAGGTTTGTCATAGCTTTTTTTCCAAGAAGCAAGCATCTTTTGTTGCTGTGGTCATGTTAGGTCTCATAAATTAAATCTTTCTTTCCTGCATATTAGTGTTAGTCTCTCAGTCATGTCCGACTCGTTGCGACCCCGTGGACTATAGCCCACCAGGCTCCTTTGTCCTTGGGATTCTCCACACAAGAGTGGATTGCCATTCCCTGCTCTAGAGGATCTTCCCAACCCAGGGTTCAAACCTGGGTCTTCTGCATTCCTGCATATAGTCCCC